TACAAAATAACCGGAAAAAATTTATATTAACTAGATAGGAAAATCATGTGTTGGACACATTAGATTTTTAACATAAGTTATAATGCTGATGAAATATTATTGTGATAGATAAAATAGATAGATAAGTTTTAAGTTCGTTACTCGGCATTATTGCTTTATAATACTTATTCAAGTGGTGATTTTTAGTATATATATACTTGGCAAAAAACAGACAAGGCATCATTCATTTTGTTGTTCTATCTAGGTAAGTCTTTTTAATAATACTACTGTTAAATATTTTATCATTATATAATAACATAATTTTGATAAGCATATTACCTAATCATTACTTAATAATAGTTTCATCAATTTTAATTCAATCAGAAAATATGATTTTCTCACATAATCATAATTTGTATTTAAAAATTTTATTTTAAATTTTTGCATATTAAAATAAATATCAATAACACTAATTAGATCATAGGCATAATATTACTAGACTGATATTTATGACTCCAAAATATGCCAGATTTAATATAATAAAATTTGAATTATATTGTAAATCCAGAAATTTAACTTGCACTGTTACTGCTTGTTGAATTTAGGATGTAGTTCCTTATATCGTACTCTTTATTTTCCAGAAAAATCAAAATGAAATTATTCATTGTCTTCGCTGCAGCTCTTTTGGCAGTTACTGCCCTTCCGGCCCAACAACACTGGACCTCATTCAAGGTATTTTCTTTACATAAAAAAATTCAAAAATATTCCAATGGTCAAAAAAATCAAATTGAAATGAATTAATTAAAAATAATAATATTTTAATAAATTTGATTAAAAAACGCTTATATAAAAAATTAAAAACTAAAGATCTCAAATCAATTTATTTGTGAAAGTTTCTGTAGAACTTATTGAACATGCCAAAATTGTACAATGAATACACAACTTTTTACAATGGTATACAGCGTTATGCAAAATGAAAGTTGTTCTTAAAAAATGACGAAGACGACATTGCATTTACACGCATCCTCTGTATATCAGAATATCAATATTATTCTTTAATCGATTTTTTCTTTACTTTTGACTCGCATAATATATTAATTTTAAAATTCCATTATTACAAAAAATACACAAAACTTTAATGGTTTTTTCACATCTTTTAAAATATGACAAAAAAAAATATGACAAGAAAATATTCTTAACTCTATCTTCAAAAGTTCCAAAAATGAACATTAAAAAAATCAAAGACATTTTTAAAAATTTAGATACAAACTAATAATTCTATAAAAGCAATCCAAATATAAAAGTTTTACGAATCTAGAAGATTAAAATATATATGGTGATTCGAGAGGAAGTAGCAATATATTAAAGACATATAATGGGAGCCAAAATAAGCAAAATTAGCTCATATGTTCAAGTCCGATTTTAATTTGTTTTAGAAATAAATTGCTTTTTTTTAATGTTAAAGTGCAACAATTTTTTTCCTGGTACGACGTGGAAACAAGAGAAGCGTTACTAGAACGCTTTCTTAATGCAGCAGATATTATTAAAGCGAACGCGTGATGGATTTTTCGAAAATTTTTTGTAAATTAATGTTATTTATTTATTTTTGTAATGTACTTTGTAATATATCTTTGTTTATTTTTTAAATTACAACCAATCAAAATATCTCTGTAACAAATAAAAATCGAACTAAAACATATGAGCTTATTTTGCCTATTTTAGCCTCCTCGACATGTCCTTAAAATATTGCCACTTTCTTCCGAATCACGCTGTATAAAAATAAATAAAAAAATTAAAAATTTCGAATATTAGTTAAAAAATATGACACATTTTTAAAAAATTAATATTAAATATCTCAATACAAACCAAAAATTTTTATGGTTAAAATACTTTACAAAACCGATAAAAATTTAAAACACTACATTAACAAAATGAACCTATTATCTCTAAAGCCGAAGAGGCTATCCAAGAGACTAATGTGAATTCACTTGCTCGCGGCAATTATGCTCGGGTGTCTCCGTCACGTCTAGGATGATTGACAGCTGGACTTAGATAACTAGCATTTTACCATCGACAATGTAAAATGAATGATAGTGAATAAATGTATGATGCATGGGTAGGAGTTAGACATACAAACTGTAGCACAATAGGCCATATGCGCCTCAATACCCCTATGCGAAACACAAGAATTAGAAGAGCAAACTGAACTCCAAGCCTAATTGAGGAAAGCCAGTGACTGGATCCAAGCCTGTTTGGGGAGTCTGTGGAAATCTCTCGGAAAAAACATGACTGAAAGGTTGTAAAAAAGCGCTTTATGAGGTATAGAATGTCATCGCTCTATAAAAGTAACATTGTAATATCTACAATCCGTAGCGACTGTAAAACATCTATTATATAACATAGGTATCTTAACGATGAATGTTTTATTTAAGGCCATACATGGAAAATCGTACGCAACTCTGGAAGAAGAACGTGTCCGTTTTGGGATTTTCCAAGACAACGTACAAAAAATAAATACACACAACGCCCGCTATGAAGCTGGACTTGAGACCTACACCATGGCAGTCAACAAATTCGCTGATTTGACCCTCCAAGAATTTGGAGCCATGCTTAGACGCATTAACGGTCCAATTCCCAAAATGACCTTGACTACTCATGTTCAGAGCGGTACTGCTCCAGAAGTTATGGACTGGAGGGAAAGGAAAGCTGTTTTGGCAGTCAAGGACCAAGGAAATTGCGGATCCTGCTGGGCTTTTAGTACTGTATGTATAATTATCACTAAAATTTTATTACAAACATCCATTATTTCAATAATTTTCCTATTATATACTTACTGTAATGTTTCACCAATTATTAGTTTATGAATTATTTTAGACTGGTGCATTAGAAGGACAGAACGCGATTAAAAACAACGTAACAGTACCACTCAGTGAACAACAATTGGTTGACTGTGACACAAAGGTGAATGAAGGTTGTGATGGTGGTGATATGCTGACCGCCTTTGAATATGTCATTGGACATGGTCTTAACAGCGAAGCTGAATACCCATACGAAGCTGTAAATGGAAGTTGCAGAGCCAAAAGCGGTTCTGTAGTTCAAGTTAAGGCAGCCGTATCTGTTGAAGCTACCGAATCTGCCCTTAGGGATACTGTTGGTAAGTAATTAACAACTCACGAGCATCCTTCATAATTGGTTGTATCAATATTCTTGATGTGGTAATTCTCCTTCTTCGTAACTTGGTATTTGCTTTCTATTTCTTCTATTTTTGGCTATCTTTAGCCAAATAATTTATACGTTTTTAACAGCATCAGCTTGTTGTTTTCCCAATATGTTTTATTTATCTTTCGTCTTCATCTCTATTCGTTTGTAAAGGTTTAAGTAAGCTATTAAAATACATCTATAAAACTTCTTATATTACGTATTGCGTCTTTCGAATCTTATATTACTTAGTTAAAATTACCAAAAATAATATTATTTTTTTAAAAGTCAAAACATTAATATTTGCAAAACAAGCCATTTTCTATTTTCAGCTGGCATCCATATTTATGCTTTTTAAACGAATATCTCTTAATTGAGTTTAACCTTCTGAGATAACCTTTTCCTAATAATCTTCTTTTATCAATTCTGTCTACCACAATATCTTCAGTATATATTATTCTTCGTATACCCTCGTTCCTAATAATTGTTAATTTGGATTTATTTGCTTCAATTTTTTTTATATCAATATTATTTCTTTTTCAGGTACCGTTGGACCGGTCTCCATAGCCATTTACGCTGACCCCTTCCAATTTTACAACCAGGGTATCTTCGATGATAGCTCGTGCTACAACGATTCTTATTTTTTGGACCATGGTGTTCTTGTTGTAGCATACGGAACCGAAAACGGCTCACCATACTGGGACGTTAAAAACTCATGGGGTGCTGACTGGGGTAATAACGGTTACATCAGAGTGGCCAGAAATAAAGGGATGTGTGGTATCGGCCTTTACAATGCATACCCAATGTTGGCTTGATTTATTAATTAAATTTTAATAATTTTGTAAACTATAAAATCTTTTTTTGATAAATATATAAGTTATTATTACTAAATTTAACTTTATTTGCTTCTTTTCTCTCTACTTATGTATCTCTATCTTCTATATATACCGGGTGTTCAAATTAAAGTATTACAGTTAAATACCGCCGAAAATATGAATTTTAGAAAAAAGTTTCAGGCAAAAGTTTTATAGTTTTTTTGGGGAAACATTTTGGCTAAATTTATTTTTCTATAGCTGACCATAATATGGCCATATCGAGGTGGACTTTATTTTTTTAAATGGAAATCCCATTTTTTACATATTCTTAAAGTACATAAAAAAATAAGAAACTTTTGATGAAAATATTTTTTTTATTGGACTTTTACTTTTTGAGTAACAGCTACAACAAAATTTTGCTGGGCAAAAAAAAAGCTGACCATATTATGTTTAGCTATAAAAAACGATTTTAGCCAAAATTTTTTCCCCACAAAACTATAAAACTTTCGTCTGAAACGTTGTTTTTTATAAAAGGCAGTATATAGCTGTAACACTTTAATTTAAACACCCGGTATAAGAGAAAAAGGTTTAGTGCGGTAAAAATATACAAGATAAAAGGATTATTAAGCAGATAGTGCAGAAAATAAAAAAAGGGCCTAATGGCAAACCGTAGACACGTGTTTCTAACTATTGGTCTTTTTCAAGTTCCTAGCTGGGATGCATTATCATGACAGCTATAACTGTCTCCGTGGCGACGCTACTATTTTCCTAGTAAGCGGTATCTGCCTAATAATACTTTTATTTTATATTTATATATATATATATATATATATATATATATATATATATATATATATATATATATATATATATATATATATATATATATATATATATATATATACGCAAGAAAGAAATCTTTGCTGACTCGTTAGGAAATGAACTTGAGTTATTGGGTTTGCAGCAAAACGATATGTCGCACCTTTAATCATAAAGTGGCACAACTAAAAAATGCTAGTTTGTATTGCCATTTCTTTGATATATTTTTTATTTATTTTTCTTGGGAATTTTTTAGTAAATATAATTATATAAAACTTTGTATGATATTTATTTTATCCCTCCTAATTATTTGTCATAGAATTTTACATTTTTATTGGTTATTTCATAATTGTTACAAACAGCTAATAAAAAAGGAAAATTTTAATTATAATTAAGAGGAAAATTTACTAAAGCAATTATTATTTTCTAAACAATACGACATAGAGCCACAAATATTTCTATAGTTTAATTTTACTTTTTAGTGAATGAAAAATATGTACCTTCAGGTAAAAGTGAAATGACCGTTTTTCTGGAGCCACTATTCCGAAATTTGATTTAATTATTTTCTCAATTTTTGAAATCTTCATAAAAACAAAATTTTGCGATTTATTGCCATCAAAATTTTATTAAATTTTAAAAAAGTGGCTTCAGAGGAACATATTTTAGCTACACGTACATGTTTTTTATTTCACTAAAAATTAAAAAAAAAATACTACCAAAATTTTGTATGGCTATATTTCGTATTACTTAGAAAATAATTGCAAAAGTAAATTCTCCTTTAAAAAAACCCGCCAATTTTTAAATTAAATATAAAATTATGGGTAACTGCATTACCGACAGAGTAAGAGTTGATGGTAATACTGCTGGTAACTTCATTACCGACAGAGTAAGATCTACTCCTCCACCCCACAGGTCGCTGCAAGCAAACATAATGCCAAATTTCTACAAAGAAACGGCAACTCTTAATAATCCTTCCTCCATCAGGCGATCATCTATTACCAGACCTGTAAGAATAAGATATAGGGAACTATTGGAAAAAATTGATCAAACTTACCCAGAATTAATTTATAAACAGGAATATGAAGTTCCTCCTTGGAAAATAAACAATCCGACTATACGCTACGACTGCCTGAAACATAAAAAAATATGAAACATCAAGCGATATAATAAAAAATGAATTTAATACAGTTACAAATACTTACCCAAGAAGTCAAATTTATTGACCTAAGTTACAACCAAACAAATATTATCTGCACCGATTCTCTCACCTCACTTCAAGCTCTGAGCAATAATTTTAGCAATGATCCATTCTTAAAACAAATACTTTATATCATTTAGAATCGAGAGAGAAAAAAGTAATCTTCGTATGGATTAAAAAACACATTGGTATAAAAGGAAACCAAAAAGCAGATAGCGCAGCTAAACAGTCCTTAGACCAACAACCTGAAAATATTCCTGTCCGAGACGAAGACTTTAAAATCTTCTTAAAACAAAAAATACTAAATAAATTGCAAGAAGAATGGACTCATCATCCATCAAAGCTCAAAAGAGTCAAACCCACAATAAAACAATGGCTAATAACTGCAGAACTGACACGCAGAGAACAAGCAATTCTCCACAGAATTCGAATTTGACACACGAGATTAACATCATCATATATGCTTTTGCGATAAAATCATCCACAATGTGACATATGTGCAACACTACAAACAATAGACCATATTATATTCGAATGTCGAAAATTTGAATTATTGAGACGACAAATATTAATTCCTATGAACATAAAAACCTGCTTATCAAACCAAAAGAATATAAAAACGTGTATCGAATTTCTAAAGAATATCCAAATTTTTTACGACATATGAAAAAATACTAATAATTACAAATTCATAATATTGTAATGGCTAATGACCTAGTAGTCGACGCCTATTACAAAAAAAAAATATTAATATTAATAATAATAACTATTTCTTTGCCATATGTAAAAAGATTTTCTGAACAAGTGTCTAAAATGTTTGCGCTAATTATAATATAAAAATCGAATGCCATTGGAGTCGAAAATATTTCTCTGGATATGCCTAAATTATGTATGCTTGTCATTTTAACGTATATTACACATATTATTAACAGTTGTTTAGAAAAAGATTATATCCCTAATCAGTGAAAAAAGCAGTTGTACCAGTGGCTAAAAAAAATAACCCTTCCATCATTCTTCGATTTAAGACCTACAAGTTTGCTTTTACTTCTCTCTAAAGTTTTGGAGAAAATCGTGTATGAACAAATTTATAGTTATCTCACTTAAATAAATTACTGCCCTTACACCAATCAGGATTCTATTACAACCAGATTAGACGATAACCAAGCATCAGCTCTCGTGTTGCTTGACTATGGCAAAGCATTCGACATACTCATCTACCTGCTGTTAATCTCTATATGTAGTTGCTATGGTTTTAGTGACAAATCTCTCTGTTTTATTAAATCATTTGTAAATAATCTTCTGCAAGCAGTACAAGTCACTAATCAGTCATCTGCATTTGAATCCATAAAATCAGGAGTACCGCAGGGCTCTTCCTGGGTCCCTTACACTATCTTCTACATATGTCAGACTTGTATGAACAACATTACATATGCAAAATACAGTTTTTCGCTAACGATTCACAAACCAAAATATAGGCTTTAATAAACTCAAAATACAACTATATAATAATTGACAATAATAGTGACAGTTATATAATGAAAGTAACGTAACAATGTCGTAGTGAAAAGTACAAGGGTGTAGATAATATTTATATATATATATATATATATATATATATATATATATATATATATATATATATATATATATATATACCTACCCTACGGATGATGCGAAGCCAACGATGCACTAACCGGGCAGCGAAGCCCGGGTCATGAGGGGAGAGACGCAAATATGTTTATAAAACCTGTATTATTTCTCACCGCGTTTAGGAAGTCCGGCTAAATACACTGTGTATAGATCACGGATTTGATGAAGCCCGGTGTTGTTGCCAAACTTACAGTAATGGTAATATACGTTTTTAATGTAGTTAATCGCTTACACGAAGCCCGCAACAGCGATCTTTATAATCTTTATATGTTTTGAATACCAATTCAATGATTTCATCAGGTTTTGTTCATGTTTATAGTAATTAATAATGAAGCAGAAAGCAAACTGAGCTTTTATTGTATTTGGCGGTTGAAAACAAAAATAGAATTTAGTTTGCGAGGATAATAAACATTGGTTAAATTTCGATAAGATCTAGTAGGCTGAGAGCTAGGGCTACAAGGTGGTACCCCAGCTGAAATTTTGTAAAGTGGTTGGTGGGATGTTTAATAAGCAATAATATAGTTTAAAGCCTTTGCAAATGAGAGAGATGTCAGACAACTTAAAGTTGCAATTTTATCGTTGAAATTTATAATACATATATTTGATTAGATAACTTATTTGACATGTCTCGATAGCTCAATTAGGTAAACATTCAACATGCATTGAAATTTGTAATTTGCGACCGCGATTCAATTCAAGACAAATTAATTCTTTTTTTTTTTTTTAAAAAGATTGTAAAAATACGTACCATTGTTTATTTGTTATAATTATATTGTATAATTAAATTATTATTATTATTATTATTATTATTATTATTATGCAATTAAATGTATTTAAAATAAATAAATAACAATAGTACGTATTTTTTTAATTTTTGTTTTTTTTTTAATAAAACAATAATGCATTTGTCGTGAATTGAACCGCGGAGCAAAATGCAAATTTGACTGCATGTTAAATGCTTAACTGAGCTATGTCGAGTAAGTTATCCAATATTTTACAATTTTCGAGTTGTCTGGTGTCTCGTTTTCAGTTCTTAGTCTATAGAGACCGCCAAGGACAGATTATGGTTTAATTCAGAACATAAATCTTTTTATCCGATATTTTTTACAACTTTGAGTTATCTGACGTCACGTTTGTAGAGGTTTTAAACTATATGCTATGATAATAATACGCCAATGCTTCGTCGTAAACAGTTATTCTAGAAAATGGTAGATCCGCCAATGTATGTGTTGGTAGTGCCGATTCTTAGTCAAAAGATAGCTGGAATATTTTAGAACGACACATATGTAAACTACAGATATAAATGAGTGTTGTATTGAGTACAAGTTAATTGAGTTATTAAATAAATAATTGTCAGTGAAAATAAACTAACTAAACAAACACTTTTTAACAAGATGGATAGTTTTTTTTTCAGAATGC